AAGCTATGGGTTAAATAGCAGGACAGACTGGGTTCTATAGCCTCGGATGGCAACTGGTCTAGGAGAAGGACAACTCTGAATTCAAAACCCGCGGAGGGTCGTTTGGGGACCTTGTGGCACAGTGCACGAGCTCTCTGTATTAGGCCCTTCAAAAAGTGTGGATGGTTCTTCACGAAACCTTCACCACTATAATCGAATCTCATGTGCCGGTGTCAGGCTGTCAGTTTCCTGGAAACTGATCTGCTTGACCCTCATACGTCGAACCTGACGGGAGAATCGATATATATATATATATATATATATATATATATATATATATATATATAACCGATCAAAAGTTTGGGAGAACACTGAATTGTTTCTCTAACATCATAAAAAATCATAAAAATTCCTTCTGGTTGCCAAAATTAAAGGACAAAATTTTGTTTTACAAGATAATGATCCAAAACACATCTCAAAACTGTGTACAAATTATCTAAAAATAACGGAAGATAAAGGAATTTTGCAAATCCTGACCCCCCCCACCTCTCAGTTTCCAGATCTTTCACCAACTGAACTAGTCCGGGACGAAATTGACCGTAAAGTTCGAAGTGAACTGCCTAAGAATAAGCAAGATCTGTCTACACATTTTAGGGAATCACTTCAACCAATAGGCTTTTACAAGTTACTAGAAATGATGTCAAGAATTTGCTCTGCAAAAATAAATGCTCGTGGTGGATTCTTTAATGAAAAGAAAATATAAATTTGCTTTAATTGAAATTATAATTATATTATATTCATTTTGATTGAAATTATTGCTTAAATGCATGCAAACATAGAAAAAATTCTTTAAAGACATAAAACATGTATCATGTTTTATGTTTAGCGGAAAAAAAAACAATGTGGTCCACAACTTTTGGTCTCCAGTGTATATAATCATATGGCTTATCTAATTCATAACGTTCAGAGAAACAAGATAAGGGGTTGAAGTCAAAGAATTCTGTACCTGGATGACACGACATATGACGTAATTCCAGCTATATACTTGCCAGAATTATAAATGAGAAGACCATATATATATATATATATATATATATATATATATATATATATATATATATATATATATATATATATATATATATATATATATATATATATATAGGAGATAATTTACGAGGAGATTATTAAAATATTTTGAGCTGTTGTCAGCTTTTTATGGTTCGGAGAGATGAATATTTACTTACCTTGAATTGATGTAAGCAAGGGTTAAAGGAATTGTTTAAGGGCTGTGAAAGACAGACTGAAAGTAAGACCCAAAGAAGGAAAACGGAATGAAAAAAGTATGGAAAAAAGGAAAAAAAGAAGGAAAGAAAGAAAAACGGAAAGTAAGACAAGAAAGAAAGAAAGAAAGAAAGAAAGAAAGAAAGAAAGAAAGAAAGAAAGGAAAACGTATAAAAAGAAAGAAAAATGCAAAGATAGAAAGAAAAACGCCAAGAAAGACAAAAAGGACAGAAATGAAGAAAGAAAGAAAGAAAGGAAAACGCGAAAAAAGAAAGAAAGAAAGAAAGAAAATGAATATTTATGCTAGAAAGATAATTGAGCTATAAAAATGGCTACGGAATCAAACTTGTAAGCATCAAAGTGTGTATACGTATATGCGCCTAGCTGAAATTGAGAACGTGAGGGTGAGGGGTCGCGAAATGAAGATGCAGATACGCCAAAAGATGAAGGAAAAAAGAAACAATGAAGGTATGAAACAAAGGAGAGAGAGAGAGAGAGAGAGAGAGAGAGAGAGAGAGAGAGAGAGAAGTTTGAAAGAGTGATGATCAGCTGTACATAGCCTTGTGTCAAACTAAAAAAGCAGAGAATGACAGAGAGAAAGACAGAGAGGGACAAAGAGAGAGAGAGAGAAAGAAAGAAAGAGAGAGAGAGAGAGAGAAAGAGAGAGAGAGAGAGAGAGAGCAACGAAAATAAAGGTGTAAATTTGACCAGTAGTAAGGGTTAGAGAAATAATCTAGTTGATTATTGCTTCCAGATAGTGAGTTCAACTGGGGGCTCAAAGGTTGTAAATGATTTCGACTTTAACAACCCAAACAGGGTTGACATGTCGTAAATTTAAACAACAAACAAAATAATGGTGCAGAAAGAAAGAAAGAAAAAGAAAGAAAGGGATGTTGAAAGAAAGAAAAACGGAAAGAAAGAAGCAAGGAGTATTAAAAGAATGAAAGAAGTTAGGGGTATTGAAAAAAGAAAGAAAGATTGAATAAAAAAAGAAAGGGTTGTTTAAAGAGAGGAATAGTGAAAGAAGAATAAAGAAAGCAAAAGGAGACAGTCGAAGAGAAAAAAAGAATGAGAAAAAGAAAATAGTTCAAAGAAAGAAAGAAAGAACAGAAAATGAGGCGAAAAAAAAAGAAAGAAACGTATATAGAGAGAGACAAAGAAAGAAACATCAGATAATCCTAATATGAAGTGAAGTGATTACCCTATTTTTTCGGCATACAAGACGCACTTTTTTACCTAAAAATACCTAATTGGCTTGACTGATAGGGACGTGGATTCATATGTTGAGTCATTACACTATAATGTTAGCTATCTAATTCAACCTTTTATATGATGTAACATCAGTACTTAGCTGTTAAAAGTATTTCTAAGACTATAAACCTTCCTGGAGCCGAGCCACAAGCTTAAACATGCTCTCGTTACTAGCGGTGGCGGGAGCTTTTCTGCTCTTGACTAGTATGTCATTGCTATATAAAATAAAATCGGACGCGTAATTAATGTAAACAATACGTGGCGCCAGTATGTGAGGGACGTAAGGTTAATGTGTTGTTGTATGAGAAATTTCTTTCCAATATTAGGGTGCGTCTTGTAAGCCGGAAAATACGGTATAGTGAATCCGTTGTTAGATCTGCTGCTAGGAAAGTCGGTTCACTGTGTCGTACGAGGCAATTTTTCTCGTCAGAATCCACCTTGTACGTTTATAAATCCCCCATTCATCCGTGCATTGAATAATACTGCCATATCTGGTCTGGTGCTCAGGCTACATATCCCGAGATTCTCGACAAAATTCAAAGAAGGGTCTGCAATGTTAGCGGTCTTGATCTGGCATCTCAGCTTCCGTCACTTTCGCACCGCCGTGACGTGGTTTCCTTCTGTCTAATCTATGAATATTTTCATGGCAGTACCAATGAGTTCTCCTATTTGGTATCTCGGCAGCACGAATTTAATCGTATTACTAGATTGGCAATTAGGTCTCATTGTTTTAATGTTGGAATAGATAGATGTAACCATAATTTCTATTCTAATAGATTTTTTTATCTGCCATCTTGCCTTTGGAACTTCTTTCTGGTTTCTTGCCACTTACAATCTTCAAAAATTTAAATGCAATGCAAATTGCCATCTTCTGTCTTCCTGAAACCTGTTCTTTTATTGTCCTTTCTCTTCAATAAAGTTTTCTCATTCTCTTTCACTCCCAGTAACCCCTTGCGTCTTAGTGGCATTATCGCCATCTTCTGTCTTCTTGAAACCTGTTCTTTTATTGTCATTTCTTCTCACTAAAGGCTTCTCATTCTCTTTCATTCCCAGTAACCCTTTGTGTCTTAGTGACATTATCGACATCTTCTGTTTTCCTGAAAACTGTTCCTTTATTGTCTTCTCCCCTTACTAAAGTCTTCTCATTGGTTTCATTTCCAGTAACCTCTTGCGTCTTAGTGGCATTATTGCCATCTTTTGTCTTCCGGAATCCTGTTCTTTTATTGTCCTTTCTCTTTACTAAAGTCGTCTCATTCTATTTCAGTCGCAGTAACCCATTGCGTCGTAGTGGCATTATCGCCTTACTTGGGATGAAATGACTTCTGTCTAGTTAAAACCGACTAAGAAAATCTTAGTAAATAATATATATATATATATATATATATATATATATATATATATATATATATATATAGAGAGAGAGAGAGAGAGAGAGAGAAGGTGTGACAAAAATAAGGACGAAAATGAAGAAAGAAAGAAAGAATAACAGAGAGGAGAAAGAAAAAGAAAGAGAAAAGGAAAAAGATTCCTTTATATACACGTATGCTTTAGAATTCCGGCAAATATTTTTAAAGCAAATGTCATGCCAAGTTACGTCCATAGATATAGGAAAACTAACAAATATACCGCTGCGTGGAGGCACCCCTAAGCAAACCCAGACCGATAAACAGTTGCCTCATCCTATTGTGACGTCATCAAGAAATTAACTCGCTTAAGGAATCTGAAGAAATATTTGCCAGCAAGCGTACATATGTACGCATGCCACTTCCAGTCAGACGTGAACATTATTCAGAGCTTGAAGCGTAGATACTTCAATCAATTCGTAGTGATTACATATATATATATATTTTATAGAATATTTTTATTTTTTGTTATCTCTCACAATCTCTGTTCCGTCATAAATTCCGTTGATTTCCAGGGCGCCTCCTGCCTTCATTATGTGTCAGATTTAATAGAAAACCTATCCTCCATTTTATGCCCTTTAAAATCATATAAATACTCCGAGGAGGTGCTGAATAGTTCTTGAGCTGACCCACTCCACAAAATCTGACCAAATGAACAAACATAAGAATTTTGTTTTGGACAGACTTCTTGAACGGGCTGATATTAATTTATACAGTAATTCTTTGGGTGATCAGTTTATTACTTTAAAACAATAGAAAAACGATCCCCCAATTTTTAAATTTTGTTTTGAACGGCATTTTATTTCATTTTATTCGTTTTCTACGATATATCAACTACTTGCAGGTTATTTTAAACCAGAACATATTTTTTTAGATTGTACGAAATTTTTTGCAGATAATAATGATTTAATGATGGAAGAATCACTAATTAACCCATAGCTAGGAGGAGAATAGGTCGATTCATACTTTTCCCAAGGGTATTTGTGCATATGTGAAAATAACGAACCCGACTGGAATAGAAACTCGACTCTCCAATTAAAAATTCGGAGCCATTATCCATTTCTCCACACGCAAATTCAAGTTTACTACACCTGATATTTCCAAGTGGTCGCCCATCTAGATATTGACCAGGTTCGACGTTGCTTAATTTCGGTGATCTTAAGGGAACCGATGTTTCAACGTGATATGGGCGTATGTCCTTGGCCGGGTTGATATTGTTATATATGAAAATTATGATCAGTTTATTACTGAATAACAATATAAAACCAATCCCCGACTTTATGTCAAGTATAATCATGAATATTCCGAGGAGGTGTTGAATAATTATCAGTCCGACACAGTTTCCAAACTCTGAGCAAACATCAGAATTTTGCTTTGAAAATGATTCTTTGTCGGACTGATATATAGTAATTCTTAGGAGTGGGGGGGTAGTTTATTACTTAAGAGAAATAAAAAATACACCCTCCTACCTCAACTTTATCACCAGTAGAATACTTTATCTCGATGACGATGAATAGTTATTTGTTTTATCCATTTCCTAAAATCTGATCAAATGAAAGATCAATCAAATTTTTAAAAATCTATTCTTGGTCGGGCTGAGAACTTGTCGGCATACCTTCGTGTTTATTCGATGCAAAGAACGATCATCTACGTCATTTAACATTAAGAATTTGCATAACGCGGAGCATGCGCAAAGGCCTTATCTGAAGTCATCGACTTATATACACTTGAAGGCAGTTACACATTTGCTATAATTTTTAGCACCGCAACTTATATCAGTACACAGATGGACAAGCACCGATAATCACACACACACACACACACACACACACACACACGCACTCTCTCTCTCTCTCTCATACACACACACATGCACACACACACACACGGTAAACATTCGAGTTAGACTGATAAGAAAATATCTCTTGGTATGTTCTCGGACTTTGCTATTAGTTGTTGTTTTTATTTGAACGCACAGGCGTCATGAGAATCGTTATAAAAAAAAAAAACTTACAACCAAACCATTGATGATGATAAGGAAAGATGTCAGACGAGTTACGATTGCAAAAAAAAAAAAAAAAAAAGAAAAGAAAAAAGAAAAGAAAAGAAAAAAAAAAGAAAAAAAATCCGATTAGGAAATATAGAGAGAATAAAAGAACGATGAATAGCGGAAAAAAAAAGTCAGCTAATGCACGTGGATAATATTGAGTTTCCACTTCCTGCGTGTTTTTCTTCTTCCTCATTTCGGTGAGAGCTCCAGTGACGTCATAGTTACCAAGACGCTCATGTAAGCGGTGGAGTAATGGATTGCGGCTCGGATTGAGGAACCGGAAAGCCGAGTTCGAATTCCAGTCGAATCCATTACATTCACTTACCCTTGTGAAATCCTCATCTTCTTCCCTCCTCCAGCTATGGTTAAATAGCAGGACATACTTTGGATGGCAACTGGTCTACCGCAGAAAGAAATAGCAACCTACTACGAAAAAAATTCTGTTTCGTCAGTCATGTATTGAAAGATACATGATCGCCTATGCGTGTATAAGGCATGGCACATGACTGACTGTTTATCTGCAAAGAGAGAGTTGCTTGAAAATTTGCATAGTCATTTTTTTATTATCAATTTACTCCAAGCAAGGGAATAAAGCCACTGAGACACAAGGGGTGGGGGTGTTACTGAGTGTAAGAGAATAAAAAAACATATTAAGGAGAGAGAACAATAAAAAATTAAGTCAGCTGCTAAGAAAGTTGGTTCACTGTGTCGTACGAGATACTTTTTCTCTCTAGAATCTATCTTACGTATCTATAAGTCTACCATTCATCCATGCTTAGAATACTGCTGCCACATATAGGCCGTTGCACTTACTCTTTACCTTAAGAAGAATCAGCAATATTATCGATCATGATCTGGCGGCTCGGCTTCAGTCACTTTTTTTACCGCCATAAGGTTGCCTCTCTGTGTCTTTTCTATAAAGACTTTCATGGTAATTATTCGGATGAGCTCTTTGCTATGGTACCTAGACTTTTTAAATTTAAGCGTAGTACTAGACTGGTGTCGAGATCTCATCAATTTACAGTTGAGCCTGGTAGATGTAACCGTAAAATCTATGCTAGCAGTTTCTTTTCTCGAAATTCTCGTTTGTGGAACTTGCTTCTGGCTCCATGCTTTCCAGTTAACAGTAATCTGCAAAGCTTTAAACGCAATGTCAATCACTATCTACTGTCCTGATTACTTTTTCCTCTTCCCGATCATTATTAATGTTTCTGTTCGTAATTCTTTCACATCCTGAAATCCCTTGTGTCTTAGTGGCTTTACTGCCTTGTATGGGGTGATAATTTAAAAAAAAAGAAAAGAATTAAGAAGATAATGATTGACAATGATATTTAAATTTTTGGAGATCAAAGTTGTCAAGTAGACGGAAGAGATTTCCACAAGCGAGAAGTGCGAAAGAAGAAACTGTTAGCATAGAACTTGCGGCTACTCTCTGCAATTTCTACAAATCTTTTCATGGCAACTGCATTGATGAGCTTTTTCCCCTAGTTACTCCAACTACAAGAACTTGGCAACAGTATTTAAACATCCAGGGAGGTACGGTGGGGTAATCTGATAGAGCCTCGGATTGAGGAATCGGAGAGCCGAGTTCGAATTCCAGTCGAATCTATTACATTCACTTGCGTGCTAATACCTGTGGGAAAAGACTGAATCTTCTTCTTCTCCCCCACCCCCAGTTATGGCTAAATAGCGGGACAGACCGGGCTCTATAGCCTTGGATGGTAGCTGGTCTACCATAGAAAGAAATGGTAACCTACTGCCGGAAAAATCTGCCTCGTCTGCCATGTATCGAAAGATACATGATCTCCTTAACGTGTATCACGCATGACATCTAAAGACACATGATGATTCAAAGCATAAATACGTCATACAAAGATATCTTATGATAGTCATTCTTGAAAACGAGGTGGCAGCCATCGCTCTCTCAACATATATATATATATATATATATATATATATATATTATGAAATGGACAAAGTCTGACAATTATTTTAAGACATTTTTTATGTTTATATGTTCTTTTTATAGATACAAATATTTAAGTAAATGCTCTGTTTATAATAAACAGTATTAAACAACATTTACCGGCCTGAATGTCCGAGAAATTTTCATAGAAAATATGAGTCCTCCGACAGGAATCGAACCTGTATCCTATAAGGAACCTTCATATAGCCTGACGTGCTTTTACTGATTGAGCCACAGAGAAGCGTTTCGGTTAGAAAGGTCGATTTTACTGTATTTAAACTACAATTCTCCATGATTTTCTCTCGTACATTCATATCTGCTCGATGCGTATCCAAATATAAACAAATGACGTCACACATTATGAAATGGACAAAGTCCGACAATTATTTTAAGACATTTTTATGCTTATTTTTTTATGTTTATCTATAAAAAGAACGTATAAACATAAAAAATGTCTTTATATATATATATATATATATATATATATATATATATATATATATATATAGATATATATATATAGAGAGAGAGATATAGATATAGATATATAGTGTGCGATTGATTGATATACACAGGTTTTTCCTATTTTTCCCGTGATGCAATAGGTTTTTGAGCGCATTACGGTAGTTGGATGTAAATATTAGGTCCTTCCATATTTTCATTCGCGAGAGATTGAATCTAACTTAACTAGCAATTCGAGTTGTAAAACATTTTTTGTTCTGTTTGGATAGCCTTGACATTGAGGACTTTAATTTACTGCTGAAGTAGGTATTTGCTTTCAGGCCATTTTTTTTAGTTTGGGATTTTTTTCTTGTCTAATGTCTTAAGTTTTTTAGCAGGTAGTCATTTTCGTATATATATATATATATATATATATATATATATATATATATATGTATGTATTCTATTCTACTATTCTTTTCTCTCATCTACCACTGACTCTCTCTTGCATCTACCATTCTCTATCTCTCATCTACCACTATCTCTCTCTCATCTACCACTATCTCTCTCTCATCTACCACTCTCTTTCTCTCATCTACCACTCTCTTTCACTCTCTATCATTTACCCCCCTCTATTTCTCTCATTTAACACCCTCTCTCATCTACTATTCTCTTTCTCTCCCATCTATCACTCTCTCATCTATGACTTTCTCTCATCTACTACTCTCTTTCTCTCTCACTTACCACTCTCATTCTGTCTCTCTCAGCTACCATTCTCTTTCTCTCATCTACCACGCGCGCTTTCTCTATCAGCTACCTCTCTCTCTCTCTCTCTCTCTCTCTTTCTCTCTCTCTCTCCATCCATTTCTATCGGTTGGATTGGAGGTAAGTTTTCAGTTCCACTCATAACATTATCAATATTTACACTAACTAATATACAGACTATTGTCCTCATCTTTGTTGTCATCACAGCGTTTCGGCCGTTGTGCCCTTCGGCCTTTCTCATGTTTATATCTATCTCGATAACCTGCAAGAAATTCTGAACTGAATCCTTTATTTCATTTACGGGTAGAGACTGTTCTCGTTCTACTGTTCAGTTATTGCTCCGCTAGGCCGGAGGGTTCAACGGCCGAAACGCTGTGAGAATAACAACAAAGATGAAGACAATAGCGTAAATAATGATAACTCCGGGTCCCAGGAATGCAGACAGAAAGTTTCATCGGTATTTTACTCCTCTTAAAGCGGTCACTAAGCAATTTTCCAATTTGTTGAAATGCATTAAACCGGTGATGTGTTTTATTTAACAGAATGTTCCGCTTTCTTGGTCCGTTCAATTAAACATGGCTGCTTTGTACCTGTATCGAATTAAACAAAAAAAAAAAAAATATCATTGGCTGCATCAATTAATCATAAATCATGAATATTCCACGAAGCACTGATTTATATTATCCGAACGTACACTAAGTATTTCTGTTCAGCCTAAAAATAAGTCCAGCCACAAAAGTATTTATAGAAAGCACTTAAAATTGATTGGATGCGTCAGCCAGATTAAAATAATATATGGTGATTAGAATAATATATAGTTGAGTTTCTGGCGTATGAGTAAAACCATTTTGACTAAAGGTATTTTTAGTACGGATACAAAGAAAAGACCAGTGATCACCTATTGCGAGGGGAACTGACTCCCGAGTGGATACTTCCCTGATCACTGTCAATGTTAACCTTTTCAAGTTTAGTGTTAACCGTTATCTTTCCAACACATCCTCATTACCGCCTCCTCCTGTTACGTGCATCAACGTCATTCACTAACCCACTCTACCTTGAGTGTCTCGTGGGCCTTTTATTGGGTGAATAATTTGAAAATAAAATAAAAAAGGGCATATAGTACACACACACGCGCGTGCGCACACACACACACACATTGCTTACGGCTATATCACGTTGAAACACCGGTCCTCGAGCAATCACCGAAGTTAAGCAACGTCGAGTCTGGTCAGTGACCTTTTGGGCATACCGGGCGTTATAAGCTTGGATGTGTGAGTGGTAAAATGGATAACGGCTCGGAAGTGTTAATCGGAGAGCCGGGTTCCAATTCCACTTGTGCACGTTATATTCACTTGGCTGCAAATACCATCGGGAAAATGTATGAACCCACCTCTGCTCCCTCCAGCTATGGGTTAATATGTAGGATCCGTATAGGAAAATCATTATTATCTCCAAAAGCATTATTATAATCCAAAAATATGTTCCGGCTTTAAATAACTTGCAAAAGTTGATAAGCTATAAAAAACAAACCAATCAATCACACGCACAAATTGAAAAAAAAATCTGATATTGGAGCGTGGTGGATTTTTTAAAAGTAATATATATATATATATATATATATATATATATATAAAGACGAAAGTTTGGATGCGTTTGACCGCACGGAATATTGAAAATTATTTAATTTAACGTAAATGTAGTTGTCTGCTCGTGTCGGTGTGTGTGTATGTGTTTTTGTGTTTGTGTATGTGTGTGTGTGCATGCAAATGTGTGTGAGTGTATTTGTGTGTGTTTCTGTGCGTGTTTGTGTGTGCATGTGTCTGTATATCTGTGTTTATGTGTGCATGCGTATTTGTGAGTGTGCGTTTGGCCTTATATGCGTGTGCTTGTGCGTGTGTATGAGTGTATATGCGCATGCGTTTGTGTGTTTATATTTATGTGTTTATACGTATGTGTTTTTGTGCGGGCGTGTGTGCGCGCGCATTTGTGTTTGTGTTTGTGTGTGTTTTTGCGTATGTGTTTTGTGTGTGCCAGTATTTTGGGTTTGTGCTTGTGAATGTGTATGTGCGCTTGTTCGTGCACGTGTATTTGTTTGTGTCCCGGTCCCATTATTAGATTTCTTGTTTAGATCCTTCTACCCAGGTTTGCATCGCTAAATGAAACATAAAAAAGATTATCTTCTAAAGTCTTTGTTCGTCTGGTTTTGTGTGTGTGTGTGTGTGTGTGTGTGTGTGTGTGTGTGTGTGTGTGTTGTGTGTGTGTGTGTGTGTTAGTGTGTGTGTGTGTTAGTGTGTGTGTGTGTGTGTGTTAGTGTGTGTGTGTGTGTGTGTGTGCATTTACGATTAAAGATGAAAGGAAAATCTGACGAAATTGCAAATATAAATGACATCGGTGAAACACGTCAACATCAAAGATAACCTAATTATCTAATTTACATTTACCATTCATATAAAGGCAAAGCTATTCGTTTTCCAGTCTGCACCTGTGGTTAGCCCAAGTACATTTGCGCTTCTTCGACACTCACGCAGCCAACCTGCACCTAAGGCGAGGAGACCTCAGGCACAATTACTGGGGAAAAGTGCGAAATCTCGCGTAATCAACAGCCGAACTAGGCAGGCACACTCGAAACCTTGGTCAATCAACGGCTAAGTATCGGTGATCAGGAGCAAAACGAGCTGGAAGACACCAGAGTTTGATTCGGTGCCCGATGGGCTCTGTCTAAGATACTTTTCACAATGAATGGATAGCTAGCTGACTTTCAAGCCAAATATATTAAAGGGACTGGTCAGGTAGTCAGAGGCACAATGACCCTAGGACCACACTCGACTATGGGACCGATGACGATTATGATGTTGATTATACGAACAAAAGACAAAGGAAATGTCTAAACTTATCGACCACACTCCTCTTGCTATCGTCTACCTTTACAAGAACCAGATCCGGCAGTAAATTGAATATTACTACCATATAAGGCCGAGAGATGCCTTGCTTTTGAGTCCAAAGCGCCCCCCCTGCGTCCTTAGAGGCGACGAATTATTTTCCAATTCTTTGCCACAGATGAGACGTCGCAAGCCTCTCGCTGTTCTATCGCTATTTCCATTTCCAGTCCACGCCACGCCACGCCACACACATTACAGCGAACCACCATTATTCCCTTCGCATAACGCCCCCCCCCCGGGTGAGGGTGTAAATTTCACTCAAGCAGCTTCCTCCCACAAACAGCAGCTTTGTGGAACCGGCTCCGAAGAGGTTGCTTCATCGATCGCTAAAATCTTAATCTGTTCAAGTCTCGAACTAACAGTTACCTTCGACATATATACGCATAAACTTTAACCCTCTACCTCGAGTGGCCTTCAAGCCTTGTACAGGGTACACACCACTGTAAAAAAAAGAAAAGAAAAAAAAGACTGATTTAATTATGGCAATTTAGCAAAAGAGAAAAAAACTGAAGCGCAATAGAGATAACAAAGGGCCTTACTCGGCAACGCCATGTATTGATGCTAGTTATACCGAAAAACGAGGGCTTACAGCCACATCACGTTGAATCACCGGTTCCCGTACGATCACCGAAGTTAAGCAACGTCGAACCTGGTCAGTACCTAGATGGGTAACCGCTTGAGAGTACCGAGTTCGAATTCATGTTGGGTTTGTTATATTCACTTACGCGCAAATACCCACCTTCGCCCCCAGCTATGGGTTAATTAGTAAGACTTATATCACTAAATCATTATTATCGCCCATACTCCAAAGTCTACAAAAATATTTCCTGGCGTTAAATCTGATATTTACACGCTATTGCGCACCAAATACAAAACTAACGAGCCACTGAATTTCGAGATGTAAAAGGGGGAGGTAGGAATTACTGATTATAAATACTAAACAGATAAGAGTTTGAGATGGACTTGAAGAGGTTAAGAATGTTGTGATCTGGAAAGCATCCTACCGGGAGTCAATGTCACAAGGCAGTGTGGGTCCTCTTGGGAATGAAGCTGCCTGAATGAAACTGCTCGGAAGAACTGCATCTGGTTCCGCCAGGTCAGGCATTCACAGCTAGAAGCCGCCATGCCACTTACACAGTAGCAAACCATCCACATCTCCCCCGTATTCCATCGGCGTGTCAAATAGCTTCTTCGTACGGACCACTGACTTTTTGAACAGACTCCCAAGAGGATGTTTTCCCGATAACATGTATCAAACAAGAGGGATGTGGCGACTCTGTCACTGCTTTACCGCTATTTCCATGGAAAGTGCTAGGAATTGCATCTCCAGGTTCCCGCAGGTCTGACCTTCGTAACTAGAACCTGGCATGCCACTTACATAGTTAAGTGGTTAAGAACGCTGTGATCGGGAAAGCATCCCCTCGGGAGTCAGTTATAGTAACATTATCTCATGCAAGCAAATGAAAACACGAAACTGAATTTCTCATACATAAATTGACATTTTATTGGCAGGACTTACCGTTGGTAAGTAGGTGTGTATGTGGCTCTATAGCCCTTTCCAAACGTGGCCCCATACATTCTAGTGTCGGTGCATCAGAGAACGTTTACCCTCCTGGGTAGGTATTGTCTGTCATGGTTTTTCCCACACGTGCTCATCACAAGCGCAGCTAGGCCGATTACATGTTTACTTATGGCTGATGCTGATCTCCAAGAGAGTGACCCATTGCGACTTCCGGGTTAACATTCCTAGCGGACATGAAGTGAAAAAACTATATTGAATCCATTGCTTGGCCAGATGCTAAGAAAGTTCCTTCACTTTATCGTGCTAGACATTTTTTCTCTCCAGAATCTATCTATAAATACACCATTCATTCATGCTTAGAATATTGCGACCACACTTGGTCTTGTGCTCCTGCTATTTACATTGACCTCCTTGATAAGATCCAAAGAAGAATTTACAATATTATTGGTCCTGATCTGGCATCTTGGCTTCAGTTACTTTCCCACCGCCGTAAACTTGCCTTCTTTGTGCCTTTTCTATAAATACTTTCATGGTAATTGCTTGGATGAGATATTCGCTATGACTATACTGTTTGAATTTAAGCGCAGTACTTAGGCTGGCGACGAGATCTCACCAATTTACAGTTGAGTTGGCTAGATGTAACTGTAAATTCGATGCGTTCTGTTTCTTTTCTCGTACTTCTCGCTTGTGGAAACTCCTCTCGGCTCCATGGTTTCCAGGTAATTTTAATCTGCAAAAATTTAAATGCAAAGCCAATCGTTATCTACTGTCCTTCTGATTACTCTTATTGCACCTGAGCAATGTTTCTGTTTTATGTAGTAATCCCTTGTGTCTCAGGGGCTTTATTGCCTTGCTCTCGGCAAAATCGATTAAAAAAATAATATCCAACACAAAAAACGCTATACCTAAGTTTTAAAATTAATTTTTAAAAATGTTCTTGAAGCTTTTATTTTAGTTTTAATTTCATGCTAATAGATTAAATTGGATATTTCCAATAAGCAAAATACTTTACTGTATTTAAAAAAAAATAATTTAAATTGACCAGAAAGATTTTTTTAATTTTTTCTTTTGCTAAAATAGATAAACACCCTTTTTTAGTCATCTTTCATCGCAATGCAATTCTCTTTATTGAAAAATCTCAAATCTGAAACTTTATTTGAGGGATGTTGAAGTATAATTAATCTGATCTGAAACAAATATTTACTTTAAATATAATTTAAAATATCGTAGAAATACATTTTTAACCGACAATTGCCGTATTGACGTGTTTGAGAACATGACGACAGATCTATTGTTGTTCTACGGAGTAAATCTGTAAAACAAAATTGAAGAAAATGACGTGAGCGCCTTTTTAATTTAATTTTTAAGTAATCAGTAATCTTTAAAAAATTATGAAAACATTTTCCATAATCTAATGTTTTATTAGATTTGAGAAATTTTTGCTGTCGGTGCAGATACTGATATTGGATGAATGATAGATATCCACCAGCGGCTAGGAGGTCACCCCTCAGGTCAACTCCACACCTGGCTTCTCTGAAAGATATTGAGGGCAAAGTGTTTTCCGTTAAGCGGGCCAATGAGATCTCCTACAGATTAAAACGGCCAGGAAGCAGTGGCGTCTGAAATGAGTCACTACAACTTATAAAATTAAGTAGGATTCTTTTGGATGAGGGAATTATAAGCTACAGTATAGATAACTATACACAGTTGTCCTACTTTGGGGGTAGTTCATCCGCGTTGGTTCCCGCCTGGCGCCCAACACTCACCTGTGGATCGAAATAGCTGTTTTTCTGTAAACAGCGCTTGTAGCCGAGTAAAGCGCTTCCACTGGCGGTCGAACCAGGTGAGAGTGTGTCCACGAGTCTAAACCCTCGATAATTTAGTGTCGGTTAACTTTGTAGTATGTGAAGAGTGATTCTTGGCAGTGTGGGCGGATGAGATCTGTATATTCAACGGTCATGTAGGCGGTGAAAGCAATGCTGTGGTTTAATGGTTAGCAAGCCTGCCTCGCTAGATCAATTACAAGTGGTTTCGATTCGCACTGGGTGTTCCATATGTTCGAACTTGAGTGCATCTAAGCTACACTTAGAAAATCATTGGGCATTTCGACGCGGTGTAATAGCTAGCTAGATCTATTACGACTGAGTAGCGATTTCGATCCTCATTGGGTGCCCCAGACTTTCGGCCTTGTGCCGCATCAAATTACTAAGATATTTTCTTTTTAAAACCTTAAAATCAGTTCCATGAGCTTGAATCAGGAAATGGCAGGAAATGGGGTGTAAATTTCAACGCTTCCAACACGAAACTGGTATCTTTTAATCGTCATAGAGAAAGGTTTTTGCCCTCCATCAGCATGGCTGATGCTAACCTCCAGGAGCTCAACATAAAAGGGACCGATTATATTGTATGGGTCTGCTGTGGGGAAAGTTAGTCCATTGTGTCGTGCAAGATAGTGTAAATGAATGGTGGACAGCATTTAGAAGAGATAATAAAAAGACCAAATTTATTAACCCCTACAAAGGGCAGGTAGTTGTGGAGGGTCATGTTCGTCGATGTCCTGCACGGAGTCAGCGCATAGAAGAAGAAGAAGAAGAAGAAGAAGAAGAAGAAGAAGAAGAAGAAGAAGAAGAAGAACCTTGTGTAAGTGAATAGCGGAACAAGGTTTTAGAGAGATAACGAAAAGATGAAAATTATTAAGCCCTACAAAGGACAAGAAGTTGTGGAGAGACATGACCTCCAACATCCTGAAGGGAAACGCCGCATAGAAGAAGAATGAGCTTGTGTAAATGATTGGCGGAACAAAGTTTAAAAGAGATAATAAAAATATAAAATTTATTAAGGAAATTATGGAGAGCCATGATCGCCAACGTGCTGAAGGGATACGACACATAGAAGAAGTATAAAAATCCAGTATCTATCTATCTATCTATCTATCTATCTATCTATCTATCTATCTATCTATCTATCTATCTCATGTTGTCTGTCTGTGTGTCTGTCGTGGGCGTTGTTACTTCGCCCAGGTCGCATTTCTCACCCGATTTCGATGCGGTTTTCAACACGTTTGCAAATGGCTGCCGTAACGACATGACGGAGCCCGATTTTTGAGTTCGGAATCAGGTTCCGAAAAAATTGATAATCGAAAAAATCGATAATCGAAAAAATTCTGCTTACAGAAGGAATGATCGCATTTCAACCAAATTTGACACCCTCTTAGAGTCTACCATTAGAAGTGTTGTCCAGACGTTTCATGACCACGGACCCCCAAACAGCGCGGAAAATCGATAAAACCCCAAAACCGATACGCCCAGATTGCGTCTGAACCGCATGTCGGTTTTTAGCGAAAACCGAGCGGATTTATGAAGAGGCCATTGGGAGTCACCATGTGAAGTTTCAACTCTGAGCACCCCCCCCCAAACAGAGTGCAAATCTACAATCGGTCAACCCTTAAAAATGTTTTTTCCGGTTTTTTAAAGCTGATCGTATTGTGTTTATTTTGTTTAGTTCTTTTTTAGTAATAGATTTAATGTTTACTATAGAGCTTAGAAAAACTTGGCAGTGTGATATAGGCAAGAAGTAAGGCATGTAACAACATCAGCACGGCAAAGGGCACTCGTCTAAAGGCAAGGAAGGTCAAAAATATTTTAAGTCAAGTGATAGGGATTGCTATATTAATAGTACTATTTTTGAATCAAGCACGGGCAACGCCGGGCCATGCTGCTAGTTAATTATAGATTTAATACCTGTAAAGCATTACTACCCACAGCGCCAAAAATGGGGTGTAGGAGATAATGGGTTAAGCTTTTTTCTTTGTAAAACTTATCTTCGCTTTTAGTTGAAACAAATTGTCTTCGATATTTTTAGTATTTGTTTTCAATTGCCTTCAGTTACGTCCGATGTCAACATGTTTCAGTTCTGATCATTGAGATTTAGTAATTGTATTTCGTCAACCAGCGCTCAAGGTTGGACTAACAACATCTCAATGAATTCTTAATGATAGATGTCCGTCTGGTAGCCTTATTAATTTCTTATTTTCTCTTTAAGACAAAATGTTTGATAATTTGCAACAATCCCGAGAGAAATTAATTAGTTTTCGAGAGAAATCAATTACTTTTGCGATTGGAAGCCAAGCTTTCCTTTTGTTAGTAGTTAATTAAAAATTACATCTGAACAAAGAGATTGTCCTTTCTCTACTTTCAGTGATTTCCCGCAAAATAGGAAAATAAATTAGTCCAAAACGAGGCAAAAAAAAATTTACTTAGTACAAAGCTTAACAAGAAGAAATTATTTCAAAACCACACACACACACACACACACACACACACACACACACACACACACACACACACACAGAGCAATGATTCCAGAACAGGCAAAAAGAGAAATTATTTCAAAACGAGGTAAAAAATAACTTAGTCCAAAGCGAAGGAAGAAAATGTTTTCAAAAGAACAGACGGACACAAACACACACACACACACAAACACACACACACGCACAAACACACACACCAATGATTCCAGAACGAGGCAAAAAGAGAAATTATTTCAAAACGATTTAAAAAATAACTTAGTCCAAAGCGAAGGAAGAAAATTTTTTCAAAAGAGAACACACACACACACACACACACACACACACACACACACACACACACACACACACACACACACACACACACACACAAAGAAATTATTTCAAAACGAACTAAAAACAGAGATATGGGTCTACAGAAGGATGCTGAGAATACCATCAATTGAACATGTGAGCAAAGACAAAGTTTTAGAGAAAATGGAAACAAAAGGTACACTTATGCTTAACATCAGGAAAAGACATAATGAGGAAAGAGGGTTTGGAAATTTTGATACTCACGGGATTGAAGTCAAGGGGAACAGTGGAAAACGACGCATAACCTGCCTAGCTACCCTGTGAAAAAGGATGGCGAAACAACGTTCAGGAGAAATAAAAAAAAGACAAGATTTATTAATAGCTATAAAGGACAGGAAGGTATGGAGAGCCATGATCGCCAACATTCTGAAGGAACACGGCATATAGAAGAATTAGAATGACAGGCATATCGAATACTACTATTTATCTTGTAATAATTATTTTTAATGTTTTTAAACCACAATTTTCCATGATTTTCGCTTATTTATTCATATCTGGAGAACTGTGGTTTAAAAACAGTAAAATCGGCCTTGCTAACCGAAACGCTCCTCTGTGGCTAAATCGGTAAAAGCACCTCAGGCTATTATTTTTAATATTTATCATTTGAATCTGATGATGATATGTTTTCCTTTTTAACGCGGTCGTATCAAGTAATCCATAGATTGATACGTAGCTGGTAGAATTTCAATCTGAAATTTTCACGGCACAATGTTCAATCTATGTAAGCAATATTCACCACTGTTTTCCAGTTGAAATAGCGAGATGTAACCTAATTTTTTCTTATCTTGCACTTCTCGCCTGTGGAACTCACTTCCTGCTTTTTTGCTTTCAAATCACCTTTGATCTTCGGAAGTTTAAACACAATGTCAAACGTCATCTTCTTTATCCTAAAATCCCTGTTCTTCTATTGTCCTCTCTCATTAATAATAATATTTTTTCTCAAATTCTTTCATACTCATTAACCCCTTGTGTCGTAGTCGCTTTATCGCTTTGCTTAGGGTGAGATGATTAAAAATTGTATAGCTAAGATGATTATTCTGAAAAAGAAATATTTGTGTAAAATAAAAATTCTTCCTTTGATTATATTGCTAATAAACCTACATAAATATTAGCAGATGGACATCTAGGGATAAAAAGCAAAATGGTCGTTCCTTCTCCAACTGTAGAGTAAATAATGTAATCCAGTTGTTTCATGTATTGATTGAATGATCTCTTTTTTACGGTTTATCAATCCTTTGTGGATTATTTAAAACCGAAACATATTTTTCGAATGTAAGAATATTTTTATTTGAATTAAATGATCTTTTATGGCTTAAACTGGCCAGCAAGATTTTTGGTGCCAAGAAACAAAACACGTTTTTTAGCTAATTTGATGGTGCTGATTCCGAAAATGACGTTAGTTTTTCATGGTTACCTACTGTTTTGCTGAACGGAAGTTGCTCATTTTTTTTTAAAAAAGATCAATTTACGATCTTGGCTGCTCGCAAAATTTAGTTAATAAAGGTCAATTTATGTCAGCCACCTGAAATAAACTATTTTTATCAGAAAAAAACTATTTTTTGAGTCAAAAATTTCAAATTAAAAGTAATGAATTTTTCCAACTTGTCACCAAAATTCAAATTAACTGATAAACTTTATCAGTAATACACTTTAGTAAACCTGATAATTAAGGTGATATAAAAAAAAATGAAACCCTAAAATTTGTTTGATATTCATAAATTTATCCCATCACTATGGAAGGAAACCAAGCACATTGGGAGCATTTTGCTTTCACAGTTGGAAAGAAACTCTAACTAAAGACATCCCAATTGAATGCACCTATTCCATTGTACATGATACTGCTGGAGTATCAAAAAGAACTTAAATAACATTGAACATGACAGACAATCAAGAATGAGAAAATATTTACCACAGTTTTTATGTTCAGGAAGGTTTTATTTCTGCTGATCGTTTATTAAATGATTTGATGAAAATACTTGTTCTTGGTAAATTCGTGTTATTTTTAAAAACTTAGGGTCTGATTGTTATTACAAAAATAGTATTTCTCAATAGGCAGACCAATATTCGTTTGTTTAAATACGAATTCAGGGGTTTCTACGATTTTATTTTGAGAAATATTGCCATTGGCCAATATTATATATGCAGAAAACAAATGAAAATAAAAGAATGATTTTTTTTCCAAAAATGAGGTACTTTTGTATAGCAGAAACAGTAGCTAACCCAGAAAAAGTAAGGTCATTTTCGGAATCAGCACGATCAAATTAGCTTAAAAGGGAGTACCCAATACAATTTTCACAAAACGAAAATGTAGGGAAAATTAAGATATAAAATATTCGAAACACTGACCTTTAAGCAACCATGGTTTGTACCAAGATGGTTTCTTCAGGCAGCAAGTTATTGTCTTTCGCCTCAAAAAAAATATTTATAACTAGCTTAAAAGCCACCCTATTGGGCGGGGTTTAAGGTAGCTCCTGTGGAGGGCTCTTGATTGAGTCTTCATCGCAATAGGTAGGGAGGAGTAGATGCCATAGGCAAAAATAAACTACAGAAGAACTCAAAATAGATCGCTGCATTTAAGTATTGCATTAATATATAAGCTTACCTTTTAAAAGTTCAACGTTATTTCTTCGGGAGAGAATTATTTACTTTAAAAATTTTAATTTAAAGACGATTTGATGTACGTAGATCCTTACTTTCCGTACAAACAATTATTTTTATTTCATGGCTGACTTTCGCCGGATTTTGCAATTAATTTTGATTATTCCCAAATTTATTTCTTAGTTATAAAAATTGTTATCGTACAAAAAAAAAAAAAAAAAAAAAAAGAAAAGAAATCGTTGAAAACAATCGCAGTAATGAAAAAATTCCCAAATTTCAGGATTTCGAGTCCGGATCCGGTTCAGAATGTTTTTACTTTGCTCACAGAGTCGGCCTGGTTCCAAAATGGTATGATATGTTGGGCTATGGTCTCTAGAAGTAAAGTTGATAAAGTGTGACACAGTGACACACTGGCATTCGCATTTATTATATAGATTGTATTTTCACTTGCAATAAGGGGAGAAGGAGGAAAAGTGGCGGGAGGAAAAAGAAGTAGAGAGACAAAGCTGAATTGAAAGATATGGCCCGGCATTGCCCGTGCTTGATTCAAAAAACGATCGCCTTTGTTCTTGTAATAAAATACTGAGATGACCTTTGTTCAATTATTTTCATTTGGGTTAAACACTACAAAATTAAAAAAAAAAAAAAAACACAAAAAAAAACTTGTATATGGCAAATAACAATAGCTCAATAGGAACAAAATAAAATTTAAATAAAAAACTAAACCGCAGTACCTTTTCATTTATTTTTAACTAGCATGGGCCGGCGATGCCGGTGCTTAATTCAAAAAGTGTACGACTCATACAGCAATCGCTATCACTTGACTTAAAATATTTTTGCCCATCCTTGCCTTTAAAGGAGAGCCTTTTGCCGTGCTGAGGTTGCTACATGCCTTACTTCTTGCCTATCTCACACTGCGAATTTTTTCTAAGCTCTATACTAAACATTAAATCTGTTATGAAAAAAGAACTAAACAAAATGAACACAAAACGATCAGCTTTAAAAAAGGACTCGTAACTGGAAAAACCGAATGAAAAAAGAATGTTAACAACAAATACTTTTTCACACCGAACCCAGTTCTGCGGAATCAGAATCAACGTTGAGTTTAAGCAAGCGAATGAGCCAATTGGAGTAAAGTGCCATGCAGATTTAAATTTTTCCCACTTGTGACGAATGCAGCTTTTCTTTTGCATGCTAGAATGCTAGTTAACATTCGTGTCAGTCAGCTGTTGGCTCTCACGCTGGCCAATAGAATCTTCCTGCCTATTCGTGGCAGCCAGCTATTGACTCTCACTCTGGCCAGTAGAAAATGGCCGCAAACTACATGAAAACTGCCGTAGAAGCATGAAAAAAATCGATTATTTCCACTATCGATGGGAGTTGGGAAATGCAAAGTAGGTCTTGGTCTTCTCGCTAACTTGGAGCATGTGCATGTCAATTTTGGTGCAAATCCGTCGAAAATTGCGGCCGTGCATACCGTTACACGCACGCACGCACACACACACACACACACACAAACATCCTGCCTTTTATATATATATATATATATATATATATATATATATATAGTGATTGTCAGATTTGTGCAGAAAAAGGCTATCTCTTCCATTCTGGATTAAGCAGTCGCGGGCTTGTGAGGTCAAACGTCCCGCTTCACTTCTGCAGTCTTCCCTTTATATATGGCGGGCTAAAGACTTATGTACGGTCTTTAAAATAGTCTGGTCTTTATGCACTCTCATGTGAATATTCAGGCCTGCTTCTGACCCACATACTTTGTCACAAAACTGACAGAAAAAGATATTAACAATCAGATTCACAGTTGAAACGTCTGGTACAGATAATGAGGAAAGTGGTTTTAACGAACTTGACACTCACAAGGCATACTGAAGGCTAGAGAAGCAGTGGGGAAAGAAGGAGTAACATGCTTAACGAGTTTGTATAAATGAATAGAATAACAAAGACAAAGATGGTTGTTAAAGGTGCAAACAGTACCTAGAGTAACAAGAGCCAGGAAACAGTTGCGAAGAGATATAGTCGCCCACGTTCTTAAGCCGAGTAGATTTAATGGTAGCATTTATTTTAGTAAGTTACAAACTGAACGAAAGATAAGGTTAGGAGAGGTTTCGGCTTATTTATTACTTTTAAATATTCATTTTCTATCCTATGATTAAATAATCTTTCTTGGATGTGGATCGGAGCAAATAAAATTATTCGAAAGAGATCAATTATGATAAAGGAAATTATTTTAACTCGGAGAGAGCAAATAAGCTATCTGATTAAATAAATTTTAAATTAATATTTAATTATACTAGGCCATTGAGTACTTTTAAGTTCAACTTAAACAAAAAAAAAAATGAAAAACAAAAACAAAAAAAACAGATAATAGAATTTCTTCACAATATCGGCAGGTGATCGACAAATTTTGCGTAAAAATGGAGTTTAAATTTGCACAATGGGATTCTAGGCGCACCTCTTTGAAACACTGATACCTGTACGATCAACAAAGTTAAGCAACGTCGAGCCTGTTTAGCACCTAGATGGGTTACCGCTTGGGAATACCAGGTGTTGTAAGGTTAGATGTGATGGTGGGATGGCTTACGGCCATATCACGTTTAAACACCGAAGTTAAGCAACGTCAAGCATGGTGAGTATCTCGATGGGTGACCGCTTGTTGTGATAGTGGTATGGATTACGGCCATATCACGTTCAAACACCGAAGTCAAGCATGGTCAGTATCTCGATGGGTGACCGCTTGGGAATACCAGGCGATGTAAGCTTGGATGTAGGGGTGGTGAAATGGATAATATCACGGAATTGTTATTCAGAGAGCAGAGTTCGAATTTCAGTTGAGTCCGTTCTATTCTTTCACGCGCAGACATCACGTATGAATCTACGTCTTCTCTCCCCCCCAGCTATGAGTTAATTAGTAAGATTTGTATCACTAAATCATTAATATCTAAAAAAAAATATAATAAATAAAATAAAATTGTGTACAAAATATTTAGATTTTCGGCACTAAATAAACCACAGGGGTTGGGGACGTTACTAAACCAAAAACAACCAACACAAAAAGTAACTTGCAAAATGAAGGCATTGCCCGCGTCGGTCTTAGCAGCCTTTCTGTGCAACTGCAATTCTCAGACATTAGCAGCAGATTTAGAGCGAAGAATCGAAACATGAGATATGATATTCTACAGAACCATAAAAGACATTTCCTATGTAGACTATATCATAAATGAGACAGTCCGAGACATCATCAGACAAGAATCAGGCCCATTAGAAAATATCTGTCTATATCTCTGAGATGAGGTATTATGATTACTTGCATTATTTACATTACTCGGACTGTTATCCTCATCTTCATTAGCATATACCCAACATTTCGTCCGTTGTAATCTCCGGCCTTCATCAGGTGATTGGAATTTTTCTTCAATATCTGTCTATATCTCTGAGATAAGGTATTATGATTACTTGCATTATTTACATTATTCGGACTATTATCCTCATTTTATTGCCATATTCACAACGTTTCAGTCGTTGTACGCTCCGGCTTTCTTCAGATGATTGGAATTTATTTCGTCCACCGGTGTAGATTGTTCTAGTTACATGTGCCATGCTTCTTCTGGATGTCTCAGTTATTTCCCTTTAACTCAACTCTGCAAGCTTTGGTTCACCACTGCTGTGGCCTGGTATTGAACTCACAATTCTTTGGGTCTAGCCACTGGGTGAATAAAGACGTTGGTTAGATCCAGTGATTAGACCCAAAGAGTTGTGAGTTCAATACCAGTGTGTGTACTGGTAGATTGTTCTAATTCCACGTGCCATGCCACTTCCGGACGTTGGTTAGATTTTCTGTCCTTTGTAGTTCTTAAAAAAAATGTTGTCTTTTTGTTATTTCTCCTAAACCCTATTTCGCCATCCATTTACACAAAATCAGTCTTCTTCTATGAGCCGTGTCCCTTCAGGGCTTCGCGACCATGGCTCTCCACAATTTCCTGTCCGTCCTAGTTCTTAATAAATTTTGTATTTTTGTTATATCTCCTAAACACTGTTCCACCATCCATTTACTCAACTTCATTCTTCTTCTTCAAATGTGTCGTGTCTCTTCAGGATGTTGGTAATCATGGCTCTCCACAATTTCCTGTCCGTCCTAGTTCTTAATAGATATTGTCTTTTGTTATTTCTCCTAAACCCTGTTCCACCATCCATTTACACAGGCTCACTAAGTAAGTTATGCATTGTTTTCCTGTGTCTCTTTCCTTTAATCTGCCCTGTGAGTATCACATTTTCCAAGCCCTCTTTCCTCATTATGTGCCCTAGAAATTTCAACTGTCTCTTCCTGATGTTAAGTATGTTTCCTTTTTGTTTGTATTTTCTCTAAAACTTCGTCGGTGCTCACATGTGCTCACATTCTCAGCATCCTTCTGTACGACTGCATTTCTGTTGCTTCAAGCCTCTTATTCATCTGTGAGGAGATTGTCCTGCCTTCACTTCCATATAGAAAGACTGATATTACGTAGCTGTCCACTACTCTTTTCTTTGTTTATAACGAAATTTATCATCTTTTGCTATCTCACTACGACTTCGGATTTCAGTTTTGCAATGTCCATTGTCTGTTAAAACAACACACACACACACACACACACACACACACACACACACACACACATAAATATATATATATATATATATATATATATATATATATATATATAAATTGTTGTACTTATTTGATTTTGGTGTCTTCAATTTATAACTTATATAATGGACTCTTTCGTTTACTAACCATGTGTTCCTTCTTCTTGCAATTGATGTTTAGTCCTTTCTTCTCGCTTTCCTTCACTGAAAAAGTTTTTTGTCGTTTCCTCAAGACTGTAACATCTGCATATTGTATGTTGTGAAGATTCTGGCCGCCAATAGTGAATCCGGGTAGGATATTTAATACTCTCAAAACCTTGTTGAATAGGTCAGGTCAGAGGACACATCCTTGTCGTATAACCCTTTTCTAGTTTTGTGTATTTACTGTCTTCATTTTCTATCAGTATACAGGCGGTTTGCTGTCAGTATAGGTTCTCGAGTATTCTAATCTCCACCCCAAATATTTCATGGTTACTAAACTATCTCAACGGATCTTTGTGACGGAGTTTGTCGAATGACTTTGCATAATCTATAAAACACAGGCTCACGTCCTTCTGCATTTGTTTTACTCCTGGTATCATTCTGAGCAGACATATCGCATTCTTTGTTCGCGTTAGGAAAAGATAACTTGCAGACAGAGAATAAAATGGCCAGACAACGTCACTGATTAAACTGGAGGGATACAGACATTGGTATGTAACCGGATTAAATGAAGGCGTTAGTCAGGTGCTTAGCTACAGAGACCCTATGACCACTCCATAGAACTGCTTGGTTTATTTTGCATAGCGGCCTGATAACCTCTATGGCTTAATGCTGAAATCTAAATATTTTGAACACAATTTTATGGCTTCAGCTATATATATTTTGAATGCAATTGTATGCCTTCAACTACAGATAAAATCTATTGTTAGTCATTTTACTATAAATATGTATTGTTAGTTGGTTGATTTTATTTAGCGGCATATCAACACCTTTATGGGTCATTTAATGCCGAAATCTAAATACTTTAAACACAATTTTATGGCTTTAAGTAAATATATTCTTAATGCATTTGTATGCCTTCAAAATTTATTGGTCATTTTGCTATAAAATGTATTGTTGGCCATTTTATTATAAATACAAATTATTGGTAATTTTTTATATGAAAATCTATTCCTAGTATTTTACTATAAAAGTGTTTTTTATACTTTCATAGTGTTTTGATTTTTGTTTGGGGCTTCACTATTTGCCAATAACTGGGACCCTAACAGGGACTACCACCCTGTGTCAAGGTGGACGTAGGTACAACAGGAATGAAGAGGTGGTTCTACGCACCTCAAAACCTCCAATCTCCCGATCAGAGAACTTGCTGTCGGGTTTATTTTATCGTCAGATCCAGAATAACCCGTTCATCGAAAGAATGATGAATGAAGGTACTTAGGTATAGCCTGAATGTAATCGTCAAAGGGCGAAAAATCTTAAACTTGTATAGAGGCGAATTTCATTGTCAAGATCTTTGTACTATTTGTAAGAAGAAAGAACGGAGATAATTCTGATGTAAGAATTGCTTGTGGGCATGCAATAAAAATGATGACTCGATTCCAAAACTGGTATAAAGGACCCTGAATATTCTGTTACCATTTCCCGGGATATATTCATGAAGAGCAAAATTTTGCGAAAACGTGAAGAGTCGAAAACCAAAGACCCGATTCGTTTCCATGAGCTACAGCAAATATCCGATTCAATACCAGAGAATAGCTAGTCAGTTGTCTAACCTTAACCCTAACACCGCTTCCTATGGACTGATCTACAGTGTCACTCTGTTCATGTATAGGGCCAGTGGAGTTTTGGGTTAGCATCATAGCCGGGTATCAAAGGATTTTTTTAATGGTCAGCGGAATAAGGAAAATCTAAACCCTGTAGATTAAATAAAGGGTACAGTTCAAAATTTCTTGACGGTTACCCGGACCAACACCCGAAGAAGGCCGGAGGGCATAACGACCGAAATGTTGTGATAATAAAAACAAAAATCAGGACATTGGTCCAAATAGAAACAAATGTACCGTCTTAGGTATGACGATAAACTACATCCGGCAGCAAGGCCTCTGACCAGGAGGATTTGAGGAGCGTGGAACAACCTCTTAATTGCTGCTGTTCCTAGGACTACCCTGACCCGGGTTGGTATAGCACTTGCTAGGGTCCCAGTTATGAGCCAATAGTTAAACCCCAGATTAGGGTCAAAACACAGAAAGTAGAAAAATATATTTTTGCAGTAGAAGTGTCAGAAATGCATTCTGATACTAAAGGAATGAACAGCAATACATTTTTGTAAAAAAAAAAAAAAAAAACTTATTACTAGCAATACACCTTTGAACAAAAAGAAACTCCACAGGTAGACCATTAAAATTCAAAGACACCTGGACATATTATATAATATGGGTGGACGTAGGTGATAGAAATATTGTTAATAATAATAATTCCTCATTTAAGAAATTCAGTCAAGAATGAATTTTACGAACAAGCAATTATTTGTTTTGTACAAGTCAGGGGCATTTAAACGTGAACAGTTTAAAAATCAGAGAAAAATATTCTTTTTTTTTTTTAATTTATACTCACATAGACAAAAACTAGGGCATATTCACCATCAGAGAGAGAGAGAGAGAGAGAGAGCTATCTCCCAAGAAAGAAGAGGAACTTCGTTGTCTGATGAAAAACCTGAATGAAACATTTCCAGATATGACAGGGTAACTGATGTAGAAAATAAAAGTTCATGAGAAACAATCAGAAAAAGCTCTAAACCAAGATTAAATTCGGTGGTCAAGTGCTTAAATTAGTGGGAAAAATCGAATATCTTGGCTCGATTATCCGCGAAAATGTCACCAAGAAAAAAAAAACAACAACAAAAAAAACATCGAGAGCAAAACAAACACTGGCAGTTACCGTAAAACCGAGAA